ACAGGGAAATCCATGAGGGGTCGGAGATTTTTGGCAGTGCGAGGAACATGAAGCTGATCGCAGATTTCCTGAGCCTGTGCCAAGTCCGGATAAACAGGATGAGTCCGGGGGTCGTTGGTCTTCTTGGCAGCAGCTGGGGTGTAAACTTGAGCCGGAAGATTGACAGGGTCTTTGTTGACCTTGATGCCGAACGAGGTAAACGAGGCGACAGAGGTGGTGGTGGGAGTAGGAGTGTACAGGTACCTGTGGGTAGGTACCTGCCAGCCTGTTTGTGACAGTGCCCAGCATAATACTGCTTCAAAACTACTCATAATTGAACCTAATGCCTGTATGTCATAGTAGGGAATAAATGCACTTATTAATTGTCAATAATTGAGGTCCACAGTCAAGGATCATTGAGGTGATTGACTTCTCACTGATCCCTTTAGCAGGTACCTACAGGTTTACCTTTGGGTACCTGTAGGACCTGTGCCCAACAGGTACCCATGGGTAGGACCCGCAGGTAATAGGTACCTGTTGGAAAATACCTGTGAGGGTGCAGGTATGGATTTTGGGGGCATGGGTACCTGTGTCAAGGGTGCGGGTACCCGTACAGGTGCACCCGCGCTCAGCCTTTCAAAGGGTGTGGATAGGGTACCCTTTCCATCCTTGGAAAGCTTGAAAATTTTATAAGGTAACAGACCCCTATCCATGGGAGACTGAAGTGCCATTGATAGTGATTTGGAATCAGTTGCAAGTTTGGAGGATCTGGACCTTTGGGAAGCTAATGAATGGGTTGATTTTGGAGTTGAATAGATTGCTAATATAGACTGTATTTACGGACTACCTGCTCCTCATTCTCCCACAAATAGGGATAACCACGGGTCAACCCGGGGTTTTTGGAGACCAACCCCAACCCGACCCCATCAAAAACCCGACCCTTCCACCAGGGTTCGGGTTCGGGTCGGGTAATTTAAAGGGTTGGGCAGGGTTTCAGGTTTCTGGGTCAACCCATCGGGTTTGGTCGGGTTTTGAGGGTTTCAGTTGGGTTCCGAGGGCAAATGTTATTGTAATGACTATATCTAAGTACAGTAAACCAATTCAGAAGTGTAATCTAGAAATAGTGAATCAAATACATTAGGAAAGCACAATATATATAACCTAGTCATCAATATCGGAGATGTCAATAGCATCCCACCCCTCCTCCAAGGTGATATCTTCATCACCCTCAAGGTCTTCTGCATTACAGACAACACGGACAATGTCACTGTCCTTGACCAGACCTGCAAGACTCCAATAATGAAGGCACAAAAGAGCCCGAGTGGTTTCAGCAGAGAGGCAGTTGCGGAGGTGCGAGAGAATGATACGGCCACGGCTGAACACCCGTTCAACGTCGACCGATGTGGCTATTAATGTGATAAGACATCGGGTTTTACGTACAACAGAATATTAGACGCACCTGGGATAGACAAATAGTCCCGAGCCATTCGAGACAAGCGCGGATAAACCGCAGCCTTCTTGGTCCACCAGACTAGCACGTTGTCCACGTTAGGCTCAATCTCCTCAGCCAAGTAACGCGATAGCTCGTCTTTGAAAGGGATGTCAATGGTGGGAGCTGCAAGTGCAGGCAGTGTGTCAAAAATGTTTTTGCGTTTCGGGTTAGTCTGTGAATGGAATCAGCAGATGAGTATAAATCAAAAGGATTACCCGAATCTTGAACGTACCTGAGGGTCTTTACCGGTAACGAGACGTTCCGTCTCCTTTGCATCACCCGCAAGACCAATATCCATCGAGCTATACGAGCGCTCAAACTCTTCACATGTGATGGCCATGGCAGTCTCAATCCAGTCGGAAGGCCACTGGCGGTCCTTAAAGTACTCGAGTTTGTAACAAGGGTGGAGGACTACAAGTAACATAGATAGTTAGAGCTAATATCAACACGCGAGGAATGGATAAACGTACCCATTGCAATGCGGTAGGTCTCCGAGAAGTCGGTCTTCTTGTAGTACTTGTTCAAGGTCTTCTTGGCTAATGAGCATGCAGCCCGAATGGAGGGGGAGAAAATGGTCGCATTGATAGCTTGGCCAGTGAGGAGATCATCAATGTGATCCATTGCTGGGATAACCGTGGGCAGGTTGGGCGTTGAACGCGAAAAGTAAAGTATCGCATCCTTGAAGACCTAGAAATGAGTGTCAGTGATAAGGACACAACAATATAGGCAACAGCTTACCTCTAGGATCTTTGTCAACTGGTCTACAATACCCCACTCATCAGACTTGAGTTCGTACTTGCGCAAACCGAGATCTTGATCAGCCGTAATGGCTGCAATAGCCTTATGGTACTCCAAGGCGAAGACGAGCATGTCGTAGGTCGAGTTCCACCGCGTCTTGACATCTCGAGGCAGCACCCGAGGTTTGAGGTTGAGTTGGTCAAGGATCTGGTACCATTGCGGCAGGAGAATCGTCGACGAGTTGATGATGGAGTAAGCGAGTTTCCGAATCTAGACAAATAGTCAGTTGTGGAAGGTATCGTGTATCGTATAGATGGAACTCACTTTAGCAATCGTCAGCTGCACCGGAAGGACATCACGAGCAAGCTGTTCGCGTTGGGCACCCGTCAACGCCTCCGTCTCATCAACCCACCCTTCGACACTGCTCTCCAACTCGTTCTGGACCTGTTCCTTGGTCTTCTCAAAGTCATTGACGGCCTCTTCAAAAGCCAAACGCATAAGCGTCTCGGCCTCTTCAACCTCAATGTTGGCCACAATGTCCTGGAGCTCTTGTTCAGCACTGGTGAGGGTCTCAGAATCTTTGGCAGTGGGAGTTGAATCGAAGACAGAAATTATGGATTTGGCTGTGAGGTTTGTGACGTGTAGGAAGCATCGTGTAAGGTTCGCGTTGCCGGGGAAAACATCGATGAGGTCTGCGAGCTTCTCAATCATGACACCGTTGTTCGATGCACTGTCGCAGGTTACACCAAGGATCTGTATACGTATGCATTAATTATACGAAGCCGTGCAATTGGGGTGGAGCACATACCTTGTGCTCAATACCAAACTCCTCCAGCAATCCGTCGCGAAGTGAAGAGCGCCGGGGTGTTCCTGTACAAAAAACGGTCAACATCGTCAATACTCATGCAAGACAGAACTCCCGTACCTGGAGAAGTTTGGCAACCCGAGAGCGGGTGCGCCCAAAGACGAGTTTGGTGTCCCAGATGATAGTGCTTGCTGAGGGAATCCAATAGTGGGGCCGGCCGGTCTTCATGAGGCTGCGGAAGCCACGATTGTTGACGATGTTAAATGGCCGCATGCTCTCGGCCACCCAACGAACAAATTCAGCCCTATTCAACAGTTAGACGACACCTGAAATGCGATGAGGCTTGAAATGCACCGAGTCTCTGCCTTGGTGTGAGGCTTCACCAAATATGTCACCTTGCCCTTTCCCTTGCGCTGGAATGCAACCGTGATTGCCTCCGTGTTGAGTATGCCGCCGTTCTTGAGCTTGATTTTACGAACGTCGTCCGCATTTGTGTACTTGTCCAGGGCGTCGAGGGCGACTTGACCGAGACATTTGAGGACATGCTGGTGAAAGTTCTTCATGGAGCTGGCATCGCGGGTGTCCTGAAAGCGATAGACAAAGCGTGAGGGCCCTCGACAGTGGTCTGCTGCGCATTCAAAGGTGTGGCAAGGGCAGTCATTTCGTTTCCCAACAACGGGGACCTTGAAATACCCATAAATGGGCGCGTTGAACTTGGGAACTGACAACAATCAAGATGTCAGTTGACATGGGCGCTCTCCGCAACGGATCTGTCACCTACCTTTAGGCTCCGGGACTTGACCCTGTCCCCTGTCCTCATTACCCTCGCCTCCCTCCTCATCCGAATCGCTTTCAGAGCCGCTTGAGACCTCGATAATTGACGTGCCAGATCCAGACTCTTCCAAGAGGTGGGATGAGCCAGCAGGAAGACTGCCACCAACCGATGAGCCGTGGGACTCGTCAAGGTCAGCGATAGACGTTCGACATCGCTTCTTGGGCGGTGATGGAGCCAAAGAGCCGGTTTCGGAGGTTGTCCCAGATATAGATGTGGCCTTGTTCTTTTGTGGGTTTTGTTTGAGGGATCCGGTGAGTTTTTTCGTAACTTTGGCGGCCTTTTTGACAGTTTTTGATATAGAGTTGCTTGCGTTCTTGACGGTCGTCTCGATGGCGTCAAGTTTCCGCTTGGATGCAACAAGAATCCGTCCCGACCGTGACTTTTTGGTCATCTCAGTGGAGATAGAAGGTGTGGGACTTGGGTGCTGATCACCCATTTTCGAAGCAGCGGCTTTAGGTCGCTTCCGAGACTCTCGGGGATTTGTTTAGCTATACACGGTTAGTAGACAGACTGCCAAACCTTAATTTGGAACTGGATAGTTCTTCATTTCGGCGACGAACGGCGCTGAGGCAAAAATTGATCCTGCCGCCAAGCCGGATTGGGACCCAAATTGGGAAGGAAACCCCTTGAAACCTGAGTCCGATTCAGGTTTGGCCGCGGGTCCCAAAACAGCAACCCTAGCCCGACCCGCGCTCGGGTTGACCCTAAAACCCTATCGGGTTAGGCAACCCCTGCCTGTCACTACCCACAAAGCACCCACATATGTTAGACGACTAGCCACTTTGCTTGCGATTAACACGTATGCATGATTTCTCTGTATGAGCTTCTTTTTTACTATTATACCAATTTACACAGTAAACATACAAGGTTTGTGAATACCAGAAATAGGCAAGTAACTAGGACATGTACCAGTCCAAATGGATGATAGACGGAAATGTGGATAAGACCCCAGACACTCTGTGACTGTCACACTGATTGGATCACTGATGGTTGGGCAAGAACAAGGTACATACCTAACCAGGGGTAGCCCCCCTAGTTACGGTGGATATGGATAAGTGCAGTAAGCAAACAGGGCTAGGTGGGGTGGACAAGGAGAGGAGTGGATAGGAGGGTCTCTAGACCCTTGGAAAGGCCAAAATTTTTATAGTCTATTAGACCCCTATCCATGGGTGACTGAAGTGCCGTTGTTGGAGCTCGTGTTGAAGGGTGGCCTGGTTGTAACGACATTGTTCAGCAATGAGGGGGTTATCTGTAATCTCTCTCCAGTTCTCCGTCCATCGGGGCATGGATGGCCAGTGTGAAAGCGAGTAGCCTGACTGTTCGAGAATGGTGTCGATGAGGTACAGCCCATAGTCATAGATGAGGTTGTCCACCGGGTTCTCAAAGCCAAGCTGCCTGAGCTTGAAGGCAAGGTCTTAGCAAATAGACGGCCGGAACTCCTCCCAAAGCTTGTGCGGCTCTCCTGGTTCTCCAAAAAGGAGGATTGTTGAGAAGAGATGGCGAAGCTGGTGCCCTGTCTGTATCTCGGAAGCCTCAATGAGTGCGATCCTCCATTCTCCATCATCTGCAAGCAAGCCCCGAGCAATACATGCAGTATGGAAGGTGGGAAGGGGCTCTTCCGCACCAGGGAGTGTTCGGAGATCCTCGAATGAAGTAGGGCCCTTGGTAACACCCAGGAGTATGCAAAGGTAGAAGACCTCACCGGCGGTAGGCTTGATGTAATACATCCATCCTCCTCCTCCTTGTCCTCCTCCCCCCGGCTTCCCCGTCCTCCCCCTCTTCCCTATTCTGCTCTTGACTACCTCCAGCCCGACCCTCCTCCTCTAATCCTCCTCCTTTGTTGCCCTCCTGCTCCAACATCCTTGCAAACTTCTTCCGAATTGTCCATGCACATCGGTTCTTATTGAACACAAATAGGCTCGGAAACTCAGGATATGTCAGCGGCCTCGCAATTCTTCTTAAAGCGCCGCTATCAGCATTGGTGTTGAAGAAAGTGGTGAGAGAGGTTATGATGGTGGCGCCACGCTGGATGATATCCTCAAGGCGAGAGTTCGGATTGAAGTTGACAGTGTGGTGGCCAGGAAGGTGGACCTGAAGGCGGACAACGGTCGGCTTATTGTCGTGGATCTTGAAGCGAAACAATCGCCAAGTTGCGTCGGGTGCCGAGATGTATCTGCCATCAATCCACTGCTTCACTTCATCCTTCTCCTCAATCTCCAGCGCACCCCTGTCTGGACCTTTCTGAATATACTTGAAGGTGTACTTTACCGACCCAAGGCTATACGTGCACTCCATGTTGATGTGGCAGTCAAAGTCGGCGATGAGAGACGGAGGGTGAGGTACAATCCACCGGTTGTCGACCATATGTCTATTGACCTCAAAGGGACGACCATCGTCTCGATGTCTGTAGTTTGGGTATCCATTGGCGTCCATGGTCATCACTTCATTGAAAGACTTTGGATAGCCTTTCGAACACTTGCCATTGACCATGCATGGCGACCTTGGGTTGTAGGCGCCGCAAGGGCCATGGACCATCGACCGCTTGACCGACTCAAAAAGGAGAGGCTGTGTAGTGGGATCAGGCCATTCGGCGGAGATGCAAGAGTCGACGACCGAAGGGGTAGCAAGCTTGTGGGACGCTTTGAGGAAGATGAGGAGGTGCATATGGGGGAGACCGCGCTTCTGGAATTCGATAGTGTAAACATATGCATCCACCTTTCCAAAAATCCCAGTTTTCACAATAAAATCAACCAACACCTTTCGCTTCATCTCAAAGACCCTTGCCACCAAATCTGGCCGGTCGTATGCTGTCTGGCCAGGCTCAAGCTCACGAAGGATCTCTGGCCAGTGCGGGTTTGTTGTCATAGTGAGGAAGATGTCGACCTTCTTGTAGTGACCCACAATCACCATCGAGTCTTGGTAGCACTGTGTCATGAAGTGTGGTCCACCAACATATGAAGATGGAAGGAAGACCCTTTTCCCAATCTCGTTCACATCGGCATCGTCAGGGTCATTCAGCTGAGCGTCGGTCAGGTTGCTAAAGCGGGCAGCACGGATGGTGGATTGATTGGAGTTAATGAATCGGAGCCGATTTTGGTCTACAGAAGTGTACATGTCCACAATAAGCCGGTTGAACAGCCCTCCCGCACGATGGAGGATGTTGAACTGGCCCAGTCGGAAGTGCATGTAGTACGCAGCCCATCGAGTCAATGTCAACCTACGCTCCCTCCTTGTAGCCTCTGGTATAGCCAAACCCCGCGCCTCTCTCTCTGCCCGTTGTGCATGCAGCCTCTTCAGCCGGTTCCATTGTTGCTCTTCCGTCTCCACCAGCTTCAGGTCCGGATGCCAGCCGTTCTCGCCTTGGGGATACAAAAGTGGGTACTGCAGTGGGAGGTATGACGGATGCAGGTCACTGATCTGTTGAAGAGGTCCATGATGAAGCCGAAGCACGATATCGTGAGGTTGGGTGGAGTGTTGGGTGGGCAAGATGATGGCAACCTCGGGGTGAGTAGGAAGGTTGTACCGGCGTCGATCCATCTGCGGGTCCAACCGAAGGTGAACAGAAACATCATTGTTGACATTGTACCCTTGGAGGATCTGGTGAGCATGTCAATAGATGGCAATGTATTGGTTGTGGTCGTTAAGCAGCTGCTGCAGTGATGAGATGACGTGGCTGTTGAGGTCCGTGTTTTGTTGTTGCCGGATGGTCAATGAGGCATTGGGTTCAAGGATGAAGAGCTGTGAATACCGTGGGACCATTCCGGCCGGTGCCATGAGAGCGCCACTGTTGTGATGAAGCTCGCCAGAGATGCGGAATACAGGTGGACCATTCCCTCGGTTAACGCTATGGTCTTGCTGGACCCCGAGTGATGTGAACAAAAATGTGCGGTTGTACTTCCATATGTCCTCGCGGAATTTTCGGGAGACCGGGTCTTGCTCTGTGAGGTATCGGTCCAATGGATATGGTGGTCGAGGAAGCTGGGGCAGTTGGATCTGGTTCTGTGCACAGCAGGAAGCAAACTTTGGTGGCCCGTTTTTCGGAGAGGCGGCCAAGCGCTCCTGGTACCAATGGGCAGCACCACAATGAGCACAGACAAAGGACATCCGTCCCAAATCGTGGCGGTGTAGAGGCTCTGTGTAAGGTTCCAACCCAGAGAGAAATCGGTGATATGGGAGTGCTGGAAGGAAATCAGCAAAGAAAAACATGTTAGATGGGAAAAGCACATGCACCGATAGGATCTCCTCCGTTGGCCTGGGCATGCTCACCCTCATGGCGTGCCTGCTGTGCAACAGCCCTGATGGACACCACCCTCCTGTCATCCTCCCGCTCCGCTCTCTCCCTTGCCCTCCGGGCTCACTGTGCCAGTGCCTGCCGTGAAACCCCCTCCCTTCCTCCCATTTCTCCCGGCCCATCCCTCAACCCCTGTCCCCTCCTGCTTGCACTTCTCCCGCCTTTCCAGCGCACTCCCGTGCACGTCTAGCCTGCTGTGCCAGTGCACGATTGGATGGTGTGGATGTGGATGGACCTGGTGTAGAGGTCATACTGGGTCAGAATGGGCGGAAAGCTGGCAAACAATTGCTCGCCTTTTCATACTCAATGATAGCCTGGACGGGCGGCTGGTGGTATCCTGGGCTGAGGATAGGAGCGATCCTCATCTTCAACAATAGGCTGGACAGGTGGTTGGCGGCCTGGGCTGGCGGTTTCGATCTGTGTTTGAGAGACAATCACGGTTGGACCATTTCGATAATCGATGCTGACGGACGCGAAGTCGAGGCAGGAGTGTGCCCTGGAATAGACATTGGTTGTGGGAAAGGGAAATGATGAAATGATATTGTAGGACAGCGTTGCACCAGTTCGATGATGTCAGTCAAAGCCGCAGCGACGGTTTTTGTGGTGATGACTGACGTCATCGCATGCACACCGGACCACCGGTCGAGCCAAGCCAATGGAGTTTTTAAATTTTCACTCCTGAGTGCCGAGTCAGGACAGGAGGAGAGTTGCGTGCATTGACGTCCGCAGGGATTGAGTATCACAACCACAGAGGGTTGAGATATTTGGTCGCCGCTGTGTAGTCGTTGCTGACGTGGCCAGGGTCGTGGTGGTTCAGTGCTGAGTTGTGACGGTTGCGCGCGCGACGGAGCTCCCAATGTCCCACAGTGCAAAATCTGTGCCCGGTTTCGCACCGTGTGAACCTGAGATGACGGGTCAGATTTTGAATGGGAAGGGAACTGGCACTGCCGCGGCCAGCGGTCATTCCATCTATGTCTGGCGTTTGTGTTTCAAATTTTTCGAAGGGATAAATGTTTACATTTTCATAGGGAGATATATCCATTAATTGCGATAGGTGAATACAAATCTAGTTGGTTGATCCATATCAATCTGGCAATGGTAGTACAGGAGCAGAAATGATCTATCATTGTCAAGCTATTGTCAGTGTTAAATTATGTTTGAATATTAGTTGCAAAGACAAAGCACAATACGCAAGGACTTGTGAGGTTGGATAAAGAGCTGTGACTAGGGAAATTTCCTCCTGTGACCATGGTCATCGGAAATGGGCATGACCAAAATTTGTGGTCAAGGCTTTGGGAAATTTTCCCATGACCAGGGAAATATTTCCGTGGGACCGTGACCTGGTCATGACCATGCTGATCCGGTTTATGTCATATTCCTGACTCTGATCTGCATGATGTCATGACCTTGTACCTGATCTGCATGACATCATGTCCCTGACCCTGATCTTCATGACATCATGTGGCTGTTCCTGTCAATCATTGATATCACTGATTGACTTCCATCATCAAAAGTCTATCTACCATCACATCCATTCCATATGTGAGTGCCAAGAACACCCACTAGGACCCCAGACACCCCTGGATAGGTCATGACCAGGGTCAGGGAAATGACCCTAGGAAATGACCAGAGGACGTGGTCGGACAGGCAGAAGCTAGAGCGTCCAACAGGCAGGAAATTGGTGGGAAATGACCAGGGACGGCCCTATCTCAAAGGCCTTTGGAAATGGCACGGACACCCATCTAAGAGACTGGTCAACCTGAGTGACTGAGGTGCGACCTTCTTGGTAGCACGATAGGCCGAGCTAATGTCGAAAGGATCAGCACCGGCAGGAAGAGGGACAACAGGCGTGTTGACGGCTGCACCAGACCAAGCCAAGTGACAAGAGACCTCCGCCGGAACAGCGAGATCGACATCCTTGTCACCGCAGAATTCCATGAACACCTTCAGAGCCAGGAACATGACTCGAAGCTATTTCTGGATGAGGGCAGTGAAAGCCATCTGGCCACCGTAGAGACGACGCTTGGGATACTGAAGAAGAAGCGTAAGAAAAGGAGAAACGAAAGAGAGATAAGGGAAACTCACCATGAAAGTGACAAGCTCGAGAGCCGCCGCCTTATACTCCTTAAGGAGGCTAAAGGGATGATGGCGCGAAGGCGAAGGTGCAAACCGGTGAGCTTGTGAAGCCCACGAGTGATGTTGGCGTTGTCACCGACATAGGTGCGCTTCATGTTGTCCCATACTGCCGGCGGGATAGCCTTAGCTGGAGGAGGGAGGGCAGAAGAGACCTCAGGGTCGAAGGAGGCGTGCTCCTGGAAGACAGCGTCAATGGTGGAAGACATGGCGAGGATAAGAGGAGTAGAAAGAAGTAGAAAGATAGGGAAAAGAGCGATAGAGCGATGGGGAAATGTGGAAAGAACCAGAGGTAGTTGGCTGAGGAACTTGACCAAAAACCAGCGGGTTTTTATAGTCAAAACCCCTTAGTTTTAAAGGATTTCTATTGGAAGACGTGTTCAGGTGAAAATTGACAGGGACACAATCTCACAGTCATGAATCGGCCATGCAGAACATGCCCCAAAAACCAAAAAACATGAGTTTCCTCTAGAGTGTGAGCAAAGTCGAGCTTCCTGAGTTGAGAAGGAGACCAAGGACGACCATCCCTGGCCATAGGGAACTCTTGCACGATGAAAGAACTGAAGATGTAAGGGGCATGAGGAGGATTGGCAACGGTGGGGAGGAGATCGTCATCAGGAATGGGGACACCGGTGGCACAACAAGAACAAGTAAAGAGCTCGTCCATACACTGGTTACCGAGATATTTACGTTTTACTTCGTTTTGCTAATAACTCCGAAGCCAAGCCCCGGATTGCTTGACTTCGACCTTGCTTGTGTTCTCGCCTATGCCGACCTCCGTCTCCCGACATTTCATAGTCCGCAATTGTGTTATATAGTCGCAGCATCATTCCGGAGTCCCTCAGTGCTTTCCTCTCACTGCTGGACTTCAGGTATGTGCTCCCTTTGATTATGAAAAAAGGAGGATGACGTGGCCTTCGGTTTGGCAGAAAATTGCAAAACAACTGCTGGAAGTGTACAGTTTGTTCAGGGGTTGAGATCTGTCTGCAAGAAGAATGAACTCGTTGGTGGCCGGGATTTGGCCTCCCCTACTCTGGGCGCAATGTGGCGCAGCTGAGACGGCAGCTGCGCATCTCTTGCCCACTTCAACACTTTCAATGTTCCTGCTCTAATTTCTCTTTGGCATTCTCAGACTGCTACCAGCTGTCAGCCGGATTCATTTGGGCCCTCAGGCTGCCAGAATTTCCAAGGCTAAAAAGCCAAGGCAATCATTGCTTACTCCATATCTGGTGTCTTCACCAGTGCCAGCACGTCTACTGCACCTATTGCTCGCTGATTTGGGTTCTCATCGTATGAGAATGACCAGGATTGGGTGAGTCATTACTCCACAGCTGGTCTTTGGGCTCTCTCTGACCGCCTTTAAAGGCGAACTTGGTTCTATCCATACTGTTCCAAAGCAGAGCGTGTTAGAATTTGTGACTTTGGCACAACTTCTTGGTCGATTTCCTTTGGGTTTAGTATCATTCGAACCAGCCTTTTACGCTCTTTCTAACGGTACTCGGGGGACGGAAATCCGTCCATTGGATACCGAGATATTTACGTTTTACTTCATTTCACTAATATCCCCGAAGCCAAGCCCCAGATCACTTGGCTTCAACCTTGCATGTGTTTATTGGTATGCGGAGCTCCGTCTCCCCACGTGTTACCATCCACAATTGTGTTATATAGTCGCAGGATCATTCTGGAGTCCATCAGTGCTTTCCCCTCACTGCTGGACTTCAGGTATGTGCTCCCTTTGAATATACCAGTGCTTTCCCCTCACTGCTGGACTTCAGCTTGCTGTGCTAATAGAGGGGGACGCTGGGCTTACTGCGCTAGCTGGGGTTGCTGACTATGAGAAGGTGAGTGCAGTTGATATAATGTAGGTCATTGTTCTAATGTATTCTCCCTTCTAGGAACCAGGATTCACCTCTGTGTTGGCATCTGGAGAGACCTCCCAGGGTTCATTCTCCAGCTCCAAGTGCCAATTCAGAGGCTTCTGAATCCTCTAGGAAGGCAGATAAACCCTCCTCGGATACTATCTCCCTTCAGCTGGCTGGAGACAAGGTCTTGACCTTTTCCGCTTCTGATCTCCCTCCCCCACCCTCCGCTACTTTCGCTTCAGACTTGTCAGTACTTTTCCAGATGTGGGATGACACCTCTCCCAGGTGGAAAGGAACATCTTTCCTTCTGATCCGTGGTACCCCCATTCTCGGAGTGCCATAGTGATAAGGGTCAACACCAATGAAGGTGATCCAGTAGCGGTATCCCTCGCGAGTCTTCAACGCCTACGACGACCTCTTCTCCATCGTCGTCGCGCAAATGACAACTCCACCGCCGCTCTAGCCCATTCCGCTTCGACCCCGCCCTCCTGCGACTTCTGTGGCATGAACAACCACGCCATCGCTGCCTGCTATGCCTACAGCCGTGCCCAGGCCAATGCCAGGGACAACGTCGTCAAGCGTCGCAAGAAGCGCGGTCAGCAGGCCAAGCAAGCGCAAGACTCCGCTCCCACTGATGCATCGGTCTCCCAAGCCTCTGCAGACGTGGTTGCTGACTTCGATTGGATTGCAGACACAGGCGCCACTTCTCATATGACCCCCCATCGTCACTGGGTGCGGAACTATGTCCCCTGTCGCATTCCAGTCAAGTTGGCAGACCACAGCATCGTCTATGCTGTCGGTATGGGCACAACAGTCTTCCAGCCTGTTGTAGATGGGAGGACCTCTCGAGTTATCACGAGTCTTGCATGTACCAGAGCTTCATTTGTACCTTACCCGGGTCAAGGGCTTCAATATACTCATTCCTCTTCACAACTTCGCTTCATGCGTGCTGGTTCGATTATTCACCGCCACCATCCATCCCAACAACTCTGTATCGATCAGTCTCTCACAGCGCCAGTACATCGTCGACATGCTCAAGCGCTTCAATATGGACGCCTGCAACAAGGTGGACACTCCTCTACCCGTTGGACAGCCTCTGACGAAGGCCATGGGTCCCCAGACCCCTGCTGAAGTCGAAGAGATGTGCAATGTTCCCTACCTCGCTGCCGTCGGTTCCCTGCAGTACCTCGCCACCATGACTCGTCCGGACATCGCCCACGCCGTCAGCTACCTTGCCCGGTTCAACTCGAACCCAGGCCTCAAGCACTGGGCTGGTGTGAAGCACCTGTTCCGCTTCCTTCAGGGCACCACAGGCCCTCTGCTTCCTGGCATCTTCACGGCCTACTCCGACGCGTCTCATGGCGACTGCAAGGATACCGGACGCTCCAGTGGTGGGTATGTGACTGTGGTTGGTGGTGGTGCTATCAGCTGGGCGGCTAAGCTCCAGCCTGTTGTTTCGCTTTCCACATGTGAAGCGGAGTACATTCAGGCTGTTGAAGCTGGTAAGGAGATTCTCTGGCTTCGCCACCTTCTGGGGGAGCTTGGCTACCCCATCACCACTCCCACTCGCCTCCTGATCGACAACGCCAGCGCAGTGACAGTCAGCAAGAACCCGGAGCACCACGGACGCATGAAGCACCTCGACTTGAAGTTCTTCTGGCTCCGTGACACTGTGGAGTCTGGTGTCATTGCTCCAGTCCACATTCCTGGCACAGAACAGGCTGCGGACATCCTGACCAAAGCCCTGCCTGTGCCCAAGGTCAAGGACTGCTGCGCTCTCCTGGGTCTAGTGGATGTCTGAACTGCCTCAGTCATGGGGGAGTGTTAGAAGTCGTGACTTTGGCACTTCTACTTGGTGGATTCCTTTTGTGTCTGGTATCATTCGAACCGGCCTTTTACGCTCTTTCTAACGGTACCCGGGGGACGGTAATCCGTCCACTGGTTACCGAGATATTTACGTTTTACTTCGTTTTGCTAATAACTCCGAAGCCAAGCCCCGGATTCCTTGGCTTCGACCTTGGTTGTGTTTTCGCCCATGCGGACCTCCGTCTCCCGACATTTCATACTCCGCAATTGTGTTATATAGTCGCAGCATCATTCTGGAGTCCCTCAGTGCTTTCCTCTCACTGCTGGACTCAAACAACAGGCTGGAGCTTAGCCGCCCAGCTGATAGCACCACCACCAACCACAGTCACATACCCACCACTGGAGCGTCCGGTATCCTTGCAGTCGCCATGAGACGCGTCGGAGTAGGCCGTGAAGATGCCAGGAAGCAGAGGGCCTGTGGTGCCCTGAAGGAAGCGGAACAGGTGCTTCACACCAGCCCAGTGCTTGAGGCCTGGGTTCGAGTTGAACCGGGCAAGGTAGCTGACGGCGTGGGCGATGTCCGGACGAGTCATGGTGGCGAGGTACTGCAGGGAACCGACGGCAGCGAGGTAGGGAACATTGCACATCTCTTCGACTTCAGCAGGGGTCTGGGGACCCATGGCCTTCGTCAGAGGCTGTCCAACGGGTAGAGGAGTGTCCACCTTGTTGCAGGCGTCCATATTGAAGCGCTTGAGCATGTCGACGATGTACTGGCGCTGTGAGAGACTGATCGATACAGAGTTGTTGGGATGGATGGTGGCGGTGAATAATGAACCAGCACGCATGAAGCGAAGTTGTGAAGAGGAATGAGTATATTGAAGCCCTTGACCCGGGTAAGGTACAAATGAAGCTCTGGTACATGCAAGACTCGTGATAACTCGAGAGGTCCTCCCATCTACAACAGGCTGGAAGACTGTTGTGCCCATACCGACAGCATAGACGATGCTGTGGTCTGCCAACTTGACTGGAATGCGACAGGGGACATAGTTCCGCACCCAGTGACGATGGGGGGTCATATGAGAAGTGGCGCCTGTGTCTGCAATCCAATCGAAGTCAGCAACCACGTCTGCAGAGGCTTGGGAGACCGATGCATCAGTGGGAGCGGAGTCTTGCGCTTGCTTGGCCTGCTGACCGCGCTTCTTGCGACGCTTGACGACGTTGTCCCTGGCATTGGCCTGGGCACGGCTGTAGGCATAGCAGGCAGCGATGGCGTGGTTGTTCATGCCACAGAAGTCGCAGGAGGGCGGGGTCGAAGCGGAATGGGCTAGAGCGGCGGTGGAGTTGTCATTTGCGCGACGACGATGGAGAAGAGGTCGTCGTATGGCGTTGAAGACTCGCGAGGGATACCGCTACTGGATCACCTTCATCGACGACTGCAGTTTCCGCGTTGCTGTGCCTCTCTTTTGGACATTGGTGTTGACCCTTATCACTATGGCACTCCGAGAATGGGGGTACCACGGATCAGAAGGAAAGATGTTCCTTTCCACCTGGGAGAGGTGTCATCCCACATCTGGAAAAGTACTGACAAGTCTGAAGCGAAAGTAGCGGAGGGTGGGGGAGGGAGATCAGAAGCGGAAAAGGTCAAGACCTTGTCTCCAGCCAGCTGAAGGGAGATAGTATCCGAGGAGGGTTTATCTGCCTTCCTAGAGGATTCAGAAGCCTCTGAATTGGCACTTGGAGCTGGAGAATGAACCTGGGAGGTCTCTCCAGATGCCAACACAGAGGTGAATCCTGGTTCCTAGAAGGGAGAATACATTAGAACAATGACCTACATTATATCAACTGCACTCACCTTCTCATAGTCAGCAACCCCAGCTAGCGCAGTAAGCCCAGCGTCCCCCTCTATTAGCACAGCAAGCTGAAGTCCAGCAGTGAGGGGAAAGCACTGGTATATTCAAAGGGAGCACATACCTGAAGTCCAGCAGTGAGGGGAAAGCACTGATGGACTCCAGAATGATCCTGCGACTATATAACACAATTGTGGATGGTAACACGTGGGGAGACGGAGCTCCGCATACCAATAAACACATGCAAGGTTGAAGCCAAGTGATCTGGGGCTTGGCTTCGGGGATATTAGTGAAATGAAGTAAAACGTAAATATCTCGGTATCCAATGGACGGATTTCCGTCCCCCGAGTACCGTTAGAAAGAGCGTAAAAGGCTGGTTCGAATGATACTAACCCAAAGGAAATCGCCCAAGAAGTTGTGCCAAAGTCACAAATTCTAACACGCTCTGCTTTGGAACAGTATGGATAGAACCAAGTTCGCCTTTAAAGGCGGTCAGAGAGAGCCCAAAGACCAGCTGTGGAGTAATGACTCACCCAATCCTGGTCATTCTCATACGATGAGAACCCAAATCAGCGAGCAATAGGTGCAGTAGACGTGCTGGCACTGGTGAAGACACCAGATATGGAGTAAGCAATGATTGCCTTGGCTTTTTAGCCTTGGAAATTCTGGCAGCCTGAGGGCCCAAATGAATCCGGCTGACAGCTGGTAGCAGTCTGAGAATGCCAAAGAGAAATTAGAGCAGGAACATTGAAAGTGTTGAAGTGGGCAAGAGATGCGCAGCTGCCGTCTCAGCTGCGCCACATTGCGCCCAGAGTAGGGGAGGCCAAATCCCGGCCACCAACGAGTTCATTCTTCTTGCAGACAGATCTCAACCCCTGAACAAACTGTACACTTCCAGCAGTTGTTTTGCAATTTTCTGCCAAACCGAAGGCCACGTCATCCTCCTTTTTTCTGCCACGTCCCCTCGAACGTGCACGCTACCACCTCGTACAACCACGAACGCCCCTCGCTGTTCGTTCACGTGCTATTCGCCTTTCGAATCCGCTGTCCGTTCTCTGTGAGCTGCGTACTCCAATTCATTTCGACTCTACCAGCTTAGTTTCGCCGTTCTGCTTGTTTCTTCGTGCACGTCCCTGCGTCCTCGTGCACCACCGTCCACCACGATCTCAACGTCGACTCCGACCTTCGCCAAGCTAGGCTCAACGAACTACAGTCTCTGGGCTGGTGACATGGAGGCCTGGTTCCGGGCCCTTGGACTCTGGAGCATTGTCAATGGCACCTCCCTTCGCCCCACCCGTGTTGGGGACATCACACCCCCAGACGCGGTAGAGGCCTGGGAGACCAAGGCAGACAAGTCTGCTGGCTGGATCTGGCTTATGCTGGAGGACAGTCAGAAGATCCATGTTTCTTCGCACAGGGACGATCCCTGCAAGATGTCGACGCTGCTGCGTGACGCCCACATGCAGC